TAGCCAATTTGGCACCCTACAAAATGAGGTCTTTCGCTCAAGTCTCCGATGGAGGATAAAATCGTCATGGGATGCGGAAGTTCAAAATACAAAGATAGTGCGCGAAAACCACCCCTTTTACCATAGGCGCTTTAGGCTAAGGTTACAGAGGCGTGGGTCGGAGCGGCCCCGATACGAAACCTTCATGTTCGCTCCACGCTGCGACATCCTTTACCCGATACTTCCATAGAGAGTATGACCAGATGCGACACTCCGAGGGGTAGGGGAGGGCCGAAACATTACAGAGACATCTGGTGGCTTCTTATCGACACTTCCACGAGGCAGCGGAATCGGGAATCGACTCGTTCGGAGATTCGACCCAACGGGATCCCTCAGCGCGACACGCCCGTCTCGTCGAGTCCGCTGCTCGGCCGTGGAGGGAGTGAGGAGGTGGAGGACAGCGACATCTATACTCCGACCCTCTCAACGAGCGGAGTGGAAACCTCCAGCTGCACGCTCTATGATAGAAGATGACAGACTTCGCTCTCGTTTGAGTTCGTCTCGATCGTGATCGTATGGGTTGCGCCGAGCCATGTCGCTTAGCTATTTCGTTTCGCGGGGCCTACATTTCGACTCTAAGCGCAACGCTTGATGTGGATTCTCGGATTAACACTGGAGTCCAGGTCGATTCGGATTCAAGGATTTCAGTGCTCGGGGAGGATGCAAGTTTCAGTTTGATATCAAAACTGGGATTTTTAAATACTATTTTTGCTAAATTTTTTTAGTCTAAAGACAGCGGGATGTTGGATGTTTTAAAAGCACCGTAAGAACTTGAGCGAGTTTTAGAGTTTAGAGAAAAGTAAGTATTGGGAACGTCGCTTAAATTATAAAAATCTCTCCTAATAAATTTTAAAAAATCAAGGGAAAACCTGCTGAAAATGTTTCTCCATCAGACAAGATGGTCGAGACGCTGACGACCCCGCTGATCCGGTCCCACGCGTACATGGAACTGGCACTCCCCTCCGGCGACCCCTCCTCGCTCACCTGGACGATCCTCGAGGAGGTGAGGCCGAAACCCCCCCTCCCCCAGTTCCCATCGGAACCGCTGAGGAAAGCCGAGCCGCTCTTTCGGGGTTGCAGATGCGGACGGCGCTAGAGCCCTCCGCGGTGGGGGTTCTCGCACTAGAGTCCTCCTCGGTGGGGGTTCTCCCACTGGAGCCCTCCGCGGTGGAGGTTCTCGCGGTGGAGTGGACGGATTCCGGAGCAGCAGTCTCCCTGAAGCTCGTCTATCACCTGCGGGCGGGCGTGGACGACCCTCTCGAGAAGATGACGACCCTCGCTGGGGCCAAAATACTCAGCAGAGTCATCGTCACCGGTACGTTTCAACGCAAGGGCAGTTTTTCGCCTCCACGAGGGAAATCATTCAATTTCCCCTCAATGCTATTTTTCGTTATTGAAACCAGCAGTTTGCATTTTTTTTCTTTGGCAGAGCGCCCACATATTCATTAATCCAAAGTTCCAATCGCATGAGGAAAGTCTTCGGAATATGGAATATATACAGGGTGTAACACAAGTCCGGAATGTTGCGAAATAGCCTGGGGGCCATTGCCAGCTTATATTGTTGGGAACTCCCAAGGCAATCTGTGCTGATTCTAGAGCATCATTTTTCCCTAAATCTCAAAATCTGGTCCGATCGACCCAACTCGGGCTCCCGGGTTTCAATTCTAGGGTGGTACAACATTATGATTGAAATACCAAATTTAATCCAGAGTGAATCATAGTGACTCTGGATCCAGCCAAAACCAAAGCAAGCGGAGGAGGTTTCGCCCCTAGCCGGGTGGAATCACTTCTTTCCGGAAGGCCTTATTTCGCCCTTTGAGTTTATATTAACGATTTCGACCCAAGGAAAGGATAAATGGAGAGCAAAAACTAAGCTGGAAGCAATTCTCAACACGGACTTGAAGGCTGAGGTGGGAAAAATCGCCGGTTCCAACGATGAGCTCCTGGCTCTTGCGAACAAGCTCGGCCAGATCCAGGTTTGTCCTAAGAGAAAATCATTAAAACAAAGTAATGGGTCGATCTATACCACATTTATTTTCCCTGGCAGGATATGAAAACGGCCAAAACGGATTTGATGCAGACGGCGTTGAGATCCTGGCGAGTGGCAATGGGAAAGGATCCGTCAATGGAAGACTCGGTCGTGGACGCGAGCAGTCTCATCGCGTCCGTGCAGAACTCCCTCCCAGCCACGGAAGACAAGGACCAAGTCGGGACTTTGCTCTCCGCCCTCTCTGCCCTCTTCCACGACGAAACCATGACCTTCTCAGGTTTCTCCCTAATCCCCATCTAAACGCTTTCATCTTCAATCGGAGGCACTCCTTCTACATCGATGCCTTCATCATATTTCAGAGATGATGCTGTCCATCAGTTCCCCGCTGAAAACGGACACGATGATTTTGGAGCTGAACGAAACCTTCAAAACCGGAGTCCACGACACGACCACCCACCCAGACGCCATCGCCCTCGCCAATAAGATCCAATCCGCGGTTCGTTCCCAAATCCCTGGAATATCCATTCGGAAGGCGCACGATGTGAAGGTGCACCCTCTTCCTTCAGCTCTGGAACAACTACCAGCTGGCAGGGGGACTGGACGTGGAAGTGGATGTCTCCCTCCCCTTCAAACCCGGCAGCATCCAAGCGAGTGCCAGCATCACCTTCAGCACCGCCACCGTGGACGCGGCCCAGGTCTCCGGAGATGCTGCCGGCATCGCCGAGAGCAACGGGATCGACGGCACTTCCGTGACAATCAGGAGTAAGTCATCGTTGCATTTTTCAGGTTGTTTATCGTTCGCAGTTCGTTGCCGTGAGAGCCAGTTCATCACCCGCGCTTAGCATGTCTCCCGGTGTGGATGCAATAAAAATAAATGGCAGTCAAAAGACATTGATGGAACTCAGGCGTATTTAATTACAGGCAACATCTCTGCACCTGAAGACCTGGAGTAGTCGAAAATCTGGCCACACGGCACGAAATACTAGAACTAATCAAAGAAACTCACAACAACGCACTGAAATCAAACGCCATTGAGACGTTCCAGAGAAAACCGTTTTTGTTACCGTTTCGTCCTTTGCGACGGGCTCCTGGAAAACGTCTTGACGCGTGGGAATTCGCCCGCTCCTTACTGAGAGATGGTGTGCATCACCTGAACTGGATTATGATCGCCAGGACAGGGTACCTTGGACCAATCGAATGGCCTCGGTCACCAAATCTCACCGGATAAACTAATAAATGGAATTGCTGTGCGCAAAAAAAAAAAAACAAAACCAAAAAAAAAACAAAAAAACAATTTGCCTCCTTGCTCAGGCGTTTCCACGGAAATTCCATCCGGACGGCGAAAAACTTGGCCAGCAAAGGGGAAATCGACGACTCGAAGGTCCACGGAACTCCTAAAAGTCTGGAGGAAAATATGGGAGACATTCGCTCGAGATGAAACGTGATATACATTTTAATTTAAATTGGTATCAATTTAAAACGTCTATCAAGTTTTAATTACTTTCAGCCCTTCGAGTCATAGCTTGACGGATAGTACCTAAGTACCTTTATTAGTACCTAAAGAGACCTGATGAGTCCGCTAAACTTTGAGTCTTTGGTCGCAAGTAATGCCGCCACAACATACCGAAGGATGATCGGTCAACCTGGGCTTAGGAGCCGGCTGGACCTCCTTGGAGACCTTCTACGATGGAATGGATCACGTGGATGGAGGTGCATCGGCCCCTGCGATTGTCCCAGACCGACAGCAAAATAAGCAGCAGACATCCGGCAGCACTGGCGAAACATCAGCAACCGCGAGTGAGACAACAGGAGCATATGGCTGGGTTGTCAGAAGTAGCACCCGGACATCCGGCGCATCTGGCAGCACTGAAACAACTGGCAGCACTGAAACACCTGGCAGCACTGAAACATCTGGCAGCACTGAAACACCTGGCAGCACTGAAACATCTGGCAGCACTGAAACACCTGGCAGCACTGAAACATCTGGCAGCACTGAAACATCTGGCAGCACTGAAGGTTCCCAGCCCTCCATCAACGCTGGAGGCACTCGAACGAGCTCAAACGATCCGCAGGCGCAATCCAATCCGGATGCAGGTGAGATATCGCCGCCGAGCCAGTGGTCGCGAGACGGTGTCTTGTGGAACGTTTTTTTCATGGAAAAAAATTTTTTTCCAGTGAAGTTGCGAATCCGGGGATTCCGTATCACGAATATCGCATGGAATGACGCTTATGCAACAGTAGGATCGAAGGAATTCAACACCCTCTGCTCCAAGATCGAGAACGGCGTAAGTTCCTTCCGAATTACAATTGACTCGTGGGCTCGTGGCAGCTCGTGGGCGAAAAAATCTGGGAAGGCCAGCTCATGATCACTGAACAATTCACTTGAGTATTAATTTTAATTCACTGGAGTATTAATGGGAGCACGAGGCACGAAAGGTGTGCCGAGGTCAGTCGCTGAGCGAGGAACCGTTTCGCTTTTGCGGTTTATATTGTTTCGAAATCACGCAAAAGCCGAGTGGGAGCGGATCCAAGCTCCGGGAATTTTTTCGCATATGCTTCAAGTCAAGCGATAAGTTTCATCTGGAAACTGTTGCTGCACAGTTCTGTTAGTCATGCAAGCAGTTGCCTCAGCGAGCCGCCTCGGATTCCGCCGCTCTGGCAATCCGTCGGCGCAGTCTAAGAGCGGCTCGCGTTGCAGGCGGTGACGGCCCTGGTGGGCAGCAGCGAGCGGGCCTTCTACCGGAGGACAGTCTGCCTGGCCAACCGACGGGGCAGCGTCGTCTCGGACTTCGACATGGAGTTCAGCCCTGGCGTGAACCTGGGGAAGGTCCAGGACGACATCGACGCCAACTCGCTCATGCCAGACGGGACTTACCTCGTCGGGGAACTGCGAACCGACCACCTTCCTTCCGGTGAGGCCGCGAGGAGCGAATGAGGGGTTGCGGGGTTGTGGGGTTGCGGGGTTGTGGGGTTGTGGGGTTGCGGGGTTGCGGGGTTGCGGGGTTGTGGGGTTGTGGGGTTGCGGGGTTGTGGGGTTGCGGGGTTGTGGGCTTTGGGTAGAAAATGTAGCGCTTTGAGCAACCTCTAGTACTAAACCTGAAAACGAGCTTCGTGAAAACTGAAAATCGTGTCGAAACTGAAGCCATGCCCGATCAGAAATAATGGGAACATACCATTTCATAACTTTGATTTTTTTTTAATCATGAGAATAAAAGAGATGGTGAGTTTTTCAATGAATAATATATTTTAAAATAAGAACAGCTGAGTTTTTCTGGCAGGAAGGACAATGATCACGACCACCACAACGAAACCGGCTGAGGTCGCCCAAGCGTTATCGGACAGAGAATCTCGTCTCATGTTGCAGATCACATTGCCCTCTATCATCGGTGAGGTTAACTTCGACATCAAGAAGCGATTTTAAATGTTTTCCGTTTTTGGGAATAGATTTACCGAATTTCTCTTCGAGTCGGTAAATACCAGTTTGACGACGCCAAATTTTATATAGAGAATGAACTGGTAACTATTGGAATACCCTTTTGAAATATGCATGAATTTTTCAATTTTAAAGTTTTTGAAAGCTTCTCGAGCGCCATTTCACTCCCTCCTATCAGTGCTAAAAAAAAATGCCATTTTTCAGCGCTGATCCTGCTGATCCTGATCATCCTGTGCTGCGCGGCGAACGGGACGAGCTGCAAGGCCTGCGGACACAAGTAACCGCCCTGGACGTCGCTCCCTTTCCTCTTCTCGCCCTTCTTTCAGCACGCGGGGGCAAAACGTGTCGTCTGGGACGACCTCTTCCGTCTCTGGCTCCCTCGGGTCGCGCCGAGTGGGAACGCAAACGACACCAAACGACACCGACGGAGCAACCCGATCGACCCACATGCGGAAGGGATTCGAACATAGCAGCGTTGTGCTGAGCTAATTTCCGATGAGCTCACTCCCGTTGCTCAAGACCCTGTGGGAACGCCGCAACGACGAGAAGTCATTGTCTATTTTCATAATCGAGCGTCTCGAGGGACGGGAGTGCGCTTGCATTTCAGTTTTGATCAAAACTTCGCAATAAAAAACCGGTTGCAGCAATGGACCACAAATTTCTCCCTCTCGAAAACGCGTGAAACGTCTGAGAAGCCTGACGAGGGGGGGGGGGGGAGACCTCGCCCTTTTGGCTCCTCTGCCGATTCTCGGGGTGAACGCTGGAAAGCTGGAAGAGTCTAAACTCCGATCCTGCCCGTTAATGGTCCAAGTCTCTCGAAGAAAAAAAAAATCCAATCAACTCCTTCCGGTCATTCTGAGACTGCTATCGTGTGTTAGCTCTGAAATTGCCCAATTACATGCAAAAATGCCCACAAGGAGCAAATGACCTCACATAACCATTCCACCACTTTTTGTCTATTTTAGTCCACCATATTCCGCCTCAAATCGACAAACCGACCCACGAATCCATTAGCGTCTCAAAAAATGCAGAAAGGTCCAAATCAACCGGCAAGCATCCGATGCCGAATCAATCGATCCTCTCAAATCCATGAAACGGTCGAGTCCACGTTGTGACACCTTGTTTGGTCTCGGCGGAACGAGGTCAACGACAGAACATTCTCATCTGGTAAGGAATATAAGGCATTTCACCTCGTGGAAGCATCGTGGAATAACTTCATCTACCATCTACCTACCATCTACCTTCCATCTATCTACCATCTACCTACCATCTACCTATCATCTACCTACCATCTGCCTACCATCTGCCTAACACCTATCTACCATCTACCTATCATCGACTATTATCGACGATGTCTCAAAACACACTGAATTTCGGGTTTCCTTCCGTTGCAATGGGTCGAGTCAGCCTGACGGGTCGATCTACAGAGTGACCTTAGTGACGGACATCGGCCGTACAATGCGAACGTGATTCCGTGCCGAGACAAGAATCTTGTGCATCAGGCGTTCGCGCGTCGATGTCCGTCTTGATGGTAGAGTCCTGTGCGGGTTCGTTTTTTTTTTTGTTGCCGACCCGGTCGTCCCGATTCCCGGGACGCGTCGGACCTGAACGACCGAGGACTCGTCGGTCGATTTGGCCGGTCGGGCTGGCCAGTTTAGGACTCTAAGCCCTTAAGACTCGGGTTCTCTCTGACGATCTGACATGGGCTCGTAAGTCGATTACCTCGATTTGCACTCTGTGAATGTTTCAAGAGCGACAGCCAGCCTGCCTGCATTTCCTCATAGGATGGAATCCGCACGACCAGGGCGGAGCGAGGAGGAGCGAGGAGGAGCGAGGCGGAGCGAGGAGGAGCGAGGAGGAGCGAGGCGAACCGGGGTTGAAAAAAATTTCAGCGTAGGAATTCGCGCGGTAATTCGGGCCGCGTGCCGTTTTGGGTTGGCTGCAATATTCCATGCCTTTTTTTCTCCAACTCGCTTGCAAATTTTTTGTCATTCACTTCCAGCTTTCTGGGTAAAAAACGATTGCATTTTTCAGAGAATCGTTTTCAACAAGTCTCGAGTTCGGCATCGAAAAGTGGCAAAAAGTGCTCCAACTCAAAAAGTTTCAATTACGTCAAATGACTTCCGATCCATTTGATTTAGTTTTGATGATTTCAAAAAATGTGTAATTTACACCAACTAATGTAATTCATTCCCTCAGCTGTCTCAAGCGATCTGACTCGATCTCATTTCTTCCATCCAGTTTTATCGCCCATTGGCCCATTGGCACCATTGCCCCATTTCATTGAAACGAACATGGAGAAAATAGCGATGAGAAAACGAATTCATGAACCTCTTCCCAAAATTCCCCTTTGGATGATTTTATAGCTGAGGAATAGGTCCACCGAATTTGAAGTATTGAGTCGCAATTAATGGGTTCTAATTCGACAAATTAATTCCTTTCGGGCCAAAACTTGCCCTCAAATGAGAAAAACTCGCATTCGCAAGTCTCCCGCAGCCGTAATGCCGGATGGCCCATATTTATCTTTATTCCTCCTGAAACTGTCCCAGGCTGGATGATCTTATTGATCGGGAAACCAGGAAATAACCTTTACGACGTGCAATGAAACCGTTATTAGCGACGGTATCCCCCTCTACTTACACATGCAATGCACATGCAATGCACTGCCCAGCAAAAGTTTCCTGAAACCATGCGGAATCGTCGTCTCAATAATGCTTAGTGTCGCTTAATGTAGTGTGGCAAACGCTTAGGACCGCCGTTGGCGTGAAAAACCGCGTCGAGGCATGGTCTGCACAAGGTCACGACAGCGCTTGGATCCTCCTCAGAAATCAGAACCTTTCACCTTTCACCTTTCACCTTTCACCTTTCACCTTTCACCTTTCACCTTTCACCCTTCACCTTTCACCTTTCTCCTTTCACCTTTCACCTTTCACCTTTCACCTTTCACCTTTCACCTTTCACCTGGGACGCAGACACCGGCGGAGGGAAGGCCTCCCTGCTCCCTTCACAAGCGGCGACAAGGCGAGATCGCAGATGCTTTGCATCCTCAATGGGTTTTGAGGACCGACAGTGGGCGTTAGAGCTCATGGTCGACTTATTCTAGGACAAAAACGCCTATCGGCCATCAGTGAGGCGTGAATGAGTCATCTACTTCAAGTTTCATTCCATCCGAGAAGAAATCGAGAAAAAGGCTTGGCAATCTCACAATGTAGCATTTAACAGAATTAAGTTAAAATATACTTAATTTTTTTTGCTTAGATTGTTCCGACAATATTCAAGTTCGTACTTAGCAGTCCTAAAATCAAACAAGTTTTTTTTTTACGTGATTTACGTGCGAGAAATTGTACTAACCATAAAGTTAAACCATGGCGACCTCGAAATATGAAATTGCAGTTTACCAAATAAATTCTCCAAATGAAGTCACTTGAGAGTGCTCGCTTCCATTATTTTCAGAGCGCTAAATGTTTTACTTGAAAATTTCAGATGAAAAAATACTTAAATCAGATTATATTTATTTCAATAATATTAAACTTTAAGGGAAATTAATAATTAATGCAGGTTCAAAAAGCCTTCCATCATTATTTTGAGCTGCTAATAGAAGACCATGTTCCGGGTGGCTTTTTCCCACTTTCAGGGGCCTTTCGGGACCTTTAAGATCTGAAACTTGGTTTGGCTCCGAGGTCCAAAATGACCGACTGGCGACTAAATATTGTCATTTGCAAAATAGGAGCCTTATTGTAATCGAAGCAGGAAAAGCAGGATAGAGTATCCACGATCGATGAGCAGGACACCGCAGAGGGATTCATAGCATGTGCCTCGAAGCAGCGATTCCGCGGTGATGCAACGATGCGATAAGGTTGCCAGGATCTGGACGTGTTGGGCCTGGGACGGTCTCCCATCTATCGACGTCCGTGTCCGTGGGGTCCGTCGATCGGACCAATGAGACGCTGCTCGTTGCGTCAACATTCCGTCTCTCCGCGCGACCGTGACCCCATCGTACGTCGGGAGGTCTCACAGGGTGGAAGGACGCAGCCCTGGGACATGTGAACATCCGCGGGGCTTCTGACATGTTCGAGTGGAAGTGCCGAGGCCTTCTTCTGGCCGTCATCGCCTCGCATGCATGTGAGATCTTCAGATCTGCTCCTCCAACTAGCTGTGAAAAGCGCCTATTCCGTAGAACCAGAGCGCTGATTTTCCGCGAAATTTTCCCGTACATTCGCCTGAACTCACACTCAGAGAAATCGGTGAATCGAGACAATATACTTCTCTCAATTTTCGCATTTCGATTTCTTTTTCTCAAGAGAAAAATACATCAGCTGGATTTTCGATTTATATCTCTCGCTTCCCGACCGTGCCGGGTCGCCTGAAAGGCGTTTGCAAAACCAGCGAGAAAAATGCATCGAACTGAGGCACTGAATTTTCTGTGTGCATGACGTTTAGGGAAAGATAAGAAGCCGCCTTTCGTCGATCGATCGTGATCAATCAAATCGAGGAATTGTGCAGGCAGTTCGTTTCCGGAGCTGCACAGTTTCCTAAGAACCCCTGGTAGACAAAAATACCTTTCTGGAAGCTCTAGGTGTCCGGACGACCTTCGATGGCAATGTCGTGGAGTCGCCCCGTAGGTCCTCGAGGGCCTCCACTCGAAGAAGATGGCCGTGTTGTCCTACAGGGTATCACAGTCAATTAGTCACCATTTAAAATTAATATGACTTGCAGTGTGAGTTATCATGACGACTCTCCTGTTATCCTAACTTGATGTCATTCAGTATCAACGTAGATGGTTCCAGCAGACGACTCCTTAGCCCGGTCGGCTCCAAACAGGTTCTCATTCTGATGCAGGAGCGAAAATTGGCGTCGCCGTCCCCTAACACAATGTTTTCCCGTCGCGTCTCCCCATCAGACGGTGAAGGGCTTGAGAGCTTCCTCACCGAAAAGGAGGATGTACCTCCGCATACAACTGTTTATTTTATGCATTTCATATGTATTTTATGTATTTTTCACATGAATTTCGTTCGTTCGGGAGTTCGTAATGAGTAATTAAGGCAATTCAGAGACGACAAATTATAAAATGGGTTTCCTCACCAAAAATTTCCGGAAAAACTGCCACACGCCGCCCGATCGAGTTGAGACAATTCTCATCTGGCTGCATCATTTGGATTCGTTAGACAGGCATCAATCCATCCCGAATGCCAAAATTGGAAATTTCAGTTGCTGGAAAAAGTGTCGTTGAGCGAATAAAAATAATCGGAATCCAATTAGAAGACTTTAAGAACCAACTCGTCGGAAGTTTCGTCCGCGAAGAAGAAATCAGGCAGGAGGAAAGATAAAAGGGGGCAATCGGCGGGGGGGGGGGAGGGGGCAAGGGGGGGGGGGAACTCAGTCTCGCTGCCCATCGATCGTGGGGGAAGAAGCCGAGGATCGGGCGGCCCGAGAGTGTCTAGGCAACAAGTACCGGTGCGTCGCGGGTGCGAGGCTATGTGCACTGGTGTAATGCTGATATTGCCCGAGAAATAAAAATAAAAATTACGATATTCGACTATATACTGTGGATTTTGGCAGTTTGAACTCGCTGAACGCGCCATAAAGTACAGTACTAGTGGTAAGTAAAGGCAAAATTAGCGAAAAATCGAACGAAGCTAAAATGACCAATATTGACGAGTGGAAGTACCGTTGAGTAATTCTTCAGATGGAATGATATCGGGGAAGATCAGATGCACATTTACTACTTCTTCCAAGTACCTCTGCAAGGTACTTCCTATAGAAATTTTTGGGGCCGGTTTGACCAATAGTTGCAATGAAAAGTACTGCAAAACCACACATGCAACTATTCAATATCATCCGAATTCGCACAGGAATTATTTATACTAATAAAAACTCAAAGGATCTCTTGACCCCCACATCTCCTCAATTAACAATATGATCAATTAACAACTCTTTAAATTCGATGAGGCATTTCAATGAAACCGAGAACTCCGTCATTTAATGATGCAACAGGGACGCTCGGCGTATTCCCATCGGCCGGAACTTACGGGAGCACCAACGGAACGACGGTAGAAAACCTGGCCTTAGCGGGAAACACGGACGACCTCCAGGACCTAAAGCAGTACGTGACAAATCACCCGCAAGCGACGAAGGCGAAGCAGGCCTTAGAGATATTGAACTCCCTCACGCCTCTACAAGCAAGTCCAATCTCCCCCCCTTCCCCTTAATGGACACGGTCTAATGGAGGCATCCTTCTTATCACCAGAGAGAGAATGCGCTTAAGTTCTTGGGGAGGGCGTATGAAGTCTACTTGGAGACGAAGGGAAGCAATGCCTCGGGGACTCAACCGGTTCTGAAAACTCCGGAGGATGTCATCCGTCTTCTAAACTCCTCTGTCGTCTTCAGGGTAAATATCATTCGTTCTTTTTGGTCTACGATCCTAATTATGATCATGATGACGGTAATTATGATGATTATGAAATACTGACACTCCGTTTTGTTGCTTTCGATTTTGCCGTTCGTCTGCAGCCTCCAGGGGTGACGTACAGCCAACTGGTGAATTGTTTCACGGCAGAACTCATGGTCTGCGACATTTTCGTCGTGAACAATGCCACTTCGTGCTTTGGTAAGGGGGATTCGCTCAAGGAGAAAGCTAAAGGCACGGAATCCTTTAATTTGATGTCAAAGCCCAAGTAAGACACTAGTGCGGACATCATTGCATGTAAAACGATGACTCCATGCTCCTCGATCACGCTATTAGCGCCTTAGCAACTCCAAGGTCGCGTATCGGCAACCTTGGAGTCGCCGCAAATTTCATTTAGTCCTGGGGAATCGCAGAGGAATAAGACGGTTTCGTTCCCTTTTCCGCGGATTACGACCAATTCTACTTCCATTTGCGACATCTTCAATCAGTTTCAGTCGGTCGAATGAGTCCCAAGGGCGCACTCATTGCCCGTTCCGCGACCGACGTGCCCCGCCCAGAAGCGGGAAGGAAAAAAACTCATTCCTTTCAATGCGTCATCTCTTCCTTCAGACTCGGTCGTGAAGGAGATGCAGAAGCCGGCTTCGCTGCTGGCTCACATGTACGTGGAACTGAATGTTCCCCTCGAGAATTCGGACCCGGAATCGGAGCAGTACCAAACGCTGGCATCGGAGATCGTCAACGACGTACGCCGACTCTCTTTTAATTTCATCACATTTTCAATGTAACTCAAGTTATTTTCTAATCATCAAGCGATTTCAAGTAATTTCATCAAGCAATTTCATCAAGCAATTTCATCAAGTAATTTCATCAAGCAATTTCATCAAGTAATTTCATCAAGCAATTTCATCAAGTAATTTCATCAAGTAATTTCATCAAGCAATTTCATCAAGTAATTTCATCAAGCAATTTCGTCAAGTAATTTCATCAAGTAATTTTGTCAATTCACTTAATAAAGTTATTTTATTTATGCGTTATTTTTCCCACAGATCTTGGCGGCCCTGCCGCCAGGCAGCTACTTCCATCGCAGCCCAGAGGTCCTGGGACTGGCGCGGGTCGGCCCCAACACGGCCGCCTCGCTGAAGCTCGTCTACAAGCTGCCGCAGGGCGTGGACGACCCGATTCCGAAGCTGACCACCCTCGCCGGGGCAAAGATTGTGAACAGGGTCATCATCACCGGTTTGTTGGAAAGATGGAAAATCTTAGGGAAAAAAAATTTCTTAAATATAAATTAGGATTAGGATTAGGATTAGGTGACGTTTGGTATTAGTTTCTTTCTCGCGCCTTCGCGGAAGCGGGCAAATGGATTTTCCCTTCTTAAACGGATGAGTGTTTCAAGAGCAAGCGAAACTGCAAAGTTTAAGGTTAAGGTTAAGTAAGGTTGGGTGTCATCGTGCTGAACATGCATTTCCGTAACTTGCTTGAGAATTTCTATCGAAGGAAAACATTATTTATCAAACTAACTTGACCGTATCTTGCCGCTTTTTTCGCGCGTGCGCCTGCAAGACGCGACGGAATCTCTCGGCTGAAATAATGGCGACCTCTGAAATGTGTCGATCAACGATCGTGCAAAACGAGTTCTTCAAGCAATTGGAATTGGAAAATCGGAAGCCGTTCAGAATCTTCCATACGATTTGGCCTCCAAAAGTTCCTCCCATTCCAAAAACGAGAACTAATTTCGAAATCCCTTTCGCAAGGCGAGAGGTCTTCTTCGTGAACACTTGAGCCTTTCGAAAAATCACTCAAAAGAAAATCACTTAGTTTCGTAATTTAAAAAATCCACCCTTGAACCTTGCTTTAACCAGGGTCAGAAGTTCGGGTTAGCGTCAGGAATTACTGCTTATATAAGAAAAAAAAATTCCGGGTAATTTGCCTCTCAATTACGTACATTACGCTGAAACAAAATTGATCAGCTGGAATAAATTTTCACGAGGAATGCAAAAATAGAGAAAATAAATCACTGCCTTCCCCTTCCTCCAATTGATGGAGTGAAAATTTCATCTCACCCTGTTATCTTTTCCCCCAAGGGAAAGACAAACTGAGAGCAAAAGCTGAACTGAAAGAAATTCTCAAAATGGATTTGAAGGCTGAGGTGGAGAAAATTGCCGGTTCCGACCTTGGCCTCCAAAACCTCGTCAAAGAACTCGACCAAATCTCGGTTTGTTCCCAGAGAGTTTTTTTTTTTCCTCGACAGAGCAATGGGAACACCTTTGCTGCATCATCCTTGTCTTTCCTGGCAGTACGTGACAGGCAGCCAGATGTCCATCGTGGAGGTCTCTTTAAAACGCTGGCGCGAGGCCATGAGTATGGACCCGTCAATGGCAGATTCAGTCGTGGACACGAAGAGCCTCATCGCATCCATGCATGACTCTTACTCGTACTATGAAAAAAGGGGCGAACTCGCGACTTTGCTCACCGCCCTTTCTGCCCTCTTCCGCGACGAAACCATGACCTTCTCAGGTTTATTTTTTTTTATCCCTCTTCTTCAATCGGAGGTTCCCAATTGCTAAAAGTTATATATCATCCCGTCAGAGATGATGCTGTCCATAAATCCCCCGCTGCGCAGGGACACCATGGTGATACAGCTAAACACTCTCTTCAAGCCCGGAGTCCACAACGACACCCACCATCCAGAAGCCATCGCCTTGGCCCAGGAGATCAAAGACTCGGTTCGACCTCGCCCATCCTGAGTCCTCCATTCCGTATTTACTCACTCCACGACCCTCCCTCTTCCTTCAGCTGTGGAACAACTACCAGCTGGCCGGGGGTCTGGAGGTTGATGTGACGGTCCTCCTGCCATTTAAGCCTGGGCCCGGGAGCATCAGAGTGAACGCCTTTATCACCTTCAGCACGGACACCGTGGACGCGACTCAGGTCTCTGCAGATGCCGCTGACATCACCAAAAGCAACGGAATCAACGGCACTTCCGTCAACATCACGAGTAAGTCATATCCATCAACCGTATATGAAGCGATGCGAAAACCGAGGCTTACTCATTTTTCTCAGCCGCTCTGCGGGATTAACAAAGCTCAGACTCAGCCTTACCTCCTCTGCTCGATAGAATCAAAGACTGATGAACCCTGCAGTAGATCAAGGGCCAATCAAGAGTTTCGAACCATCTCGAAGAGCTCTGCGAACAGACTGCCTCTGAAGCTCAAATGCATTTTGCACGACAGGGATGCCCAAGTACGGCATTTCCGCATTCCAAAAAATCAATACGATTTCTTTAAATCTCGCCTCTTCTCATGAATGCAGCGCATGAACGTATTATGGATCAAAACGCAAAATATCCAGGCATTGACACGAAAGCAGAGGCAGTTGTGAGTTCGACAATGATTCCGACACGAAATCAAGCAACCGTGGCGGGTCAGACTGATAAGTAAGTGAATTAATTTGCAATACTAGTTATTAAATAAAATAATTTTTCTCAAGAACGCACGCTCGCACCTTCTTAAGTTGTTAAACTTCTTGGATTTTAGAAATTGTTCATTGTGATTATTTATATAATTTGAATAACTTGAGGTTATTCGAATTACATAAATAATGATTAAATAATGAATCGTCCCGCAAAGAACTCCAGAGCAACTTCAACGCTTTCTAAACCAATTTCAACTGATTTCAATTCAAGTTTTTTTTTCATTTTTTTGATGTCACATTTAACCGCTAAATGCCCCAGTCTTTGAATAAGCTGCGGATAATGTCCAATTCCGAAGAAACTGCAATAAATATTTTTTCTCTCACATAGTAACTATTATAAACAAATTGGCTGCACAAATGCTCAATCTGTAATGCGGCGTTTGCGCTGTGCTTTGTGCTTGGTGATTTGTGCTTGTGATTTGTTCGTTTTGCTTGCAGTGGAGCTGCGAATCCGAGGATTCTGCATCACCAACATCCCCTGGAAGGACGGCTATGCCAGGGTAGGATCGACGGAATTCAACGACCTCTGCTCCAGGATCGAGACAGGAGTACGTTGCTACAGAACCCTCTGCTACAGAACCCTCCAGTTGCTACAGAACCCTCTGCTACAGAACCCTCCAGTTGCTACAGAACCCTCTGCTACAGAACCCTCCAGTTGCTACAGAACCCTCCAGCTGCTACAGAACCCTCCAGTTGGTTATTATGAATTGGTTATTCCAAATTCTTTGGTCCGAGGGTAGCGAACTGTAGCCGTTCAACCGTTCGTAAGTTGGACACCTGTCCTTCAGTCCCACCCAGAAATGCTTCAAATGAGAAGGCGAATCGATCCCCATACGGATATCTTGCAAGAAACCAGAACATTTCATCGTTTAGATTCCCGTGCAGGGACTGTCAATGCTAAAGGTCAATGACTGTCAATGCATTGCAGATTCTGACGGCGCTGAAAGGAAGCAGCGAGCGGGCCTTCTACCAGAGGACCGTCTGCCTGGCCAACCGACCAGGCTTCGTCATCTCAGACTTTAACCTGGAATTCGCCCTCGGCGTGAACCTGTGGAAGGTCCAGCAAGACATCGATATGAACACTCTCCAGCGGGACTGGACCCACGTCGTTGGGGGTCTTCGAACCCTCTTCATTCCTTTCGGTGGGGTCCCAGCAATTTTATTTCTTTACTTAAAGGGATTCCTGTGGAGCATTCAACTGATCAGAAGTCGGGAACATGCTGAGTAAAAAGGGTCTCGTGAAGTAGGAAACTAATGCGAAGCGCAGGTGTCTGCGAGCACGGTCAAACCTCGTTGCAATAAAGTGCAAGGAACCAAAATAAAAACATATTACGTACAATAAGGCTTTTATTTCATAGAGAGATTTACTGTATCCCGATATTCTGCAGGCAAGAATTCACTTGGTTTGGGAAGTAAAGCCCTCATATTTTTTTCTGGTTCCTTGGACTTTAGTAAACGAGGTTTGATCGTTGACATCAATTGACACAGATATTTTCCCTGCGGAAAAGCGGACCATCGCATGCTTCTTGGTATTTTTTGGAAATGGAAACATTGCCGGATTCCTAACAGCCGCAACACGTATTCTGCATCCAGGAAATTTGGACGAACGGTATGGATGGAGCGAGGACAACATAACTTACAGAGGATATTACGGCGCATACGAGTTCCTGAAGAAGCACGTGAGCGATCACCCGCAGGAGACGGAGGCGAAGCAGGCTTTCGACAAGCTGAACGCCCTCACGCCCAACCAGGCGAGTCCAGCTCGCTCTCCACCGCTGCAAACTTCAGACGGCGACGTTGACGTTCGTCTTCCTTCCAGAGAGATAATGCAGACAGGTTCTGGGAGCGGGCGACGGAAATTTTCCGAACGAACCTGGCAGACACCGACCCAGAGGCTCCACCCACAGCGGAATCCGTGACGGACTTGGTCCACCTCCTCACCTCCTCCGTCGACTTCAGGGTGACCTGCTCGAAATGCAATTTTTCATGCTCTCCAATTTTTCATGCCCTCCAATTTCTCATGCTCCCGTGTGTCTCTTCATCTCGTGCTTTTCATTCTCGGCAGCCCGTGGGCATAACGAACGAGCAACTGGCGGACGTGCTGAACGGCATCGCCATGGCCGACGAACTTCGACATCTGACAAAGGACGGGTGGCTAAGTATGACAAGTTTCATCTTGCACGTTCCAAGAATTTTATTTTTACGTTTCACAATATTTTATAAATATGATAATATTTATAATTATACCACATTAATAATATTATGTATAATAATAACAATAACATAATGTAAATATGATTATAAGCTCGTAACCTGGGGTCCATCTGAAAATATATATGAAGTGTCTGAATGGCATCAACGAAGGATTCTTCTCTTTATTTTTCGCTTTTGTCACCGCTTACCCTCTCATTTCATGCACTCAAACATCATAGACAAAAGACCAGACTTGGCTTAGCTCTCGGAAACACTGCCCTGTGAGTTTCTTCCCCAGATGATACGATGACGACGCTGACGATGCCACTGATCAAGTGCCACGTGTACTTGGAATTGGACCTACCCTTCGATTACGCGGATCCCAGGGCCAGGAAATACCGGAAATTGGTCTGGATGATCAACAGAGAGGTAGGTGGGAGGTTCTGCGCGGTCTCGCCCCGATTCCCTCGCAAGAAGTCGAACGTCTCTCGCGGCTCGTGCAGATGTGGAGCGTCCTATCCCGACACAGAACGATCTTGCACGAAAGGGCACAGGTCCTGGGACTGGGGCAGACCGGGGACGCGTCCACCACGGCCGTCTCCCTGAGGCTCGCCTACGAGATGCCGCCGGGCGCGGACGACCGCGTGGCGAATATGATCACCCTCGCCGGGGCGAGGATCCTCAGCAAAACCATCGTTACCGGTTCGTGGTTCGTGCTTTGCTAAATGTCCAGGTTCCTCCGTGAAATTCGAAATATATGTATTGACTTTTCTTTTAGTACATTTGGTTGAATCAGTATATAATTAAATTTTTGACAGAATGACTCATAAAAACAACTCATTTTTTTAATTTGCTACTGGCCAGCGGTTCCACAACTGTCAGTCGCGAGAGGCTTCAAGGTGCATGGAGATGAGTCAACTTAAGGGAAAATTTAAATCTCCCTCAGAAAAACTATAAAATCTCTCTTTCAGGGCCAAACTCAACCCTAGTAACATGGTTGCTGGTTTGGAATAATACAAATAGTCGATAACAAGTTTGGGAACCGATGCAAAAACACAAACTAAACCCCACTTCGACCCAGGAGCGATTCAAGACCCATAGGTTTGGAGTCGCTGACTCAAAGGATATGAGAAAAATTAAGTATATTCCGCTTATTTTAGCCATAGCTCCCCGAAATTTGAAAGATCGACTCTCCTACAAGTGTATTTCCCATATCACGAAAACGAGGATCAACGAAAACGAATTGCATTTTTTTTACTTCGAATCCAATGAGTGGAATCGCCACGACGTGGTCTCTTTCATTGGGGTCTACCACGTATTTTATTTCTTTGTGGCCCTCTTGAGCAGTCACACCCTTTTCCAGCAGTTCTACCACTGTATGAAGCAAAGTTGTGTGCTAATTTTTTCGCAACCACCTTCTGCCGTTTGCAGTACTTCTGTCTCCTCGATTTTACGACTTCATTTTCTTTCTGAGCGTGTGGAGTCGCGGCTTTCGTCACGTGGAGAAGTTGCGAGCAACCACAGCGGCAACACTAATAGTTGCGCAATGTGACCCGCTGCCTTCTTTCCAGCAAGAACGGGAAAAAAGTGTAACTGCAATGTAATTTCCCTCAATTGACAGGTAGGAAAAAAATGAATATTCAGGAGTTGAATATGAATCTGGGGAGGCGAAGTTCAAAATCGCAACTGAAGGAGTAGAACTGTTTATTGGTTAGGACGAAATCATCAATGATGTCGGTTGTTTTCTTTTCCGAAAATGTTCAAAATTATTCGGAAATCCCTATGCGATATTTGAAAGGCGTATCGTCGGGACTTAATTTAGGAAAATGTGAGTTAAACACGGTTCAATTACGAAACCACATTGAAATAAAAATTTATAATGGAATCTTACGAATGAAGAGATGGCAAACTGTCACTTCGATTGACTCTCCGCGAAGATCGAATTTCAGCCGATTTGTTCTTATCGCTGATACACCCTTCAGGGAAGGACATAAAAAGGGCAAAATCGGAGCTGGAAGAAGTCCTCGGCATGGATTTGAAGGAAGAAGTGAAAAAATTGGCCAGTTCTGATCCTGATCTCAAGATCATCTTAGACAGACTCGGCAAAATCCCGGTTCGTCCTAAGCGAAAAAGTTTTTCATTCAGGAAGGGGAACCTAACCAGGAAAATCGACCCATTCTCATCTTTCTCCAAAGAACCTGAAAGCGGCTACGACGCATTTGGTGGAGACGGCATTGCCGTCGTGGCGAGTGGCAATGGGAAAGGATCCGTCAATGGAAGACTCGGTCGTGGACACGGCGAGTCTCATCGCGTCCGTGCAGAACTCCCTCCCGGCCACGGAAGACAAGGACCAAGTCGGGACTTTGCTCTCCGCCCTCTCTGCCCTCTTCCAAGACGACACCTTGACCTTCTCAGGTTTCTTTTAAAATCCCTCTTCCAATTCTTTCATCTTCAGTTCAAGGGTGTTTTTCCTCTATGGCTTTATCCTCTGTCAGAGGTAATGCTGTCCATCAGTCCCCCGCTCTACACGGACACGATAGCGGTAGTGCTGAACGATACTTTCAAGCCCGGAGTCCACGACACGACCACCCACCGAGACGCCATCGCCCTCGCCAACAAGATCCGAGACGCGGTTCGACCTCCAACGTCTCGTACGGAACGGCTTCGGAATACGTAGTGAATACCTGCCCTCTTCTTACAGCTGAGCAACAACTTCAAGCTGGCTGCAGGGCTGGACGTGGTCGTGAATGTCTCCCTTCCCTTCAAACCCGGAAGCATCGTTGCGAATGCCAATGTCACCTTCATCACGGACACTACGGAGGCGGCACAGGTCTGGGAAGATGCTGCTCTTATCACCGAAGCCAATGGAATTAACGGGACTTCCGTTACCATCATGAGTAAGTCGTCAATGAATCCATCAGCCTCATCTCAATAGCAGTTCATAGCCAATTGCACCACCTTGCAGTAGAAGGTGCGGGTGCTCTAACAAAAAGAAATACAACGAATTTTTCGACAGGTCCACATGACTGCAAGCACTGATCTCTAGTCTTCAGCAATTCCTTCATTTTTACCTCCTGCTCTTTATCCAGACGATTCTTGTACCTTAGTGTCGACTGCCTGCATTTGAGAGACAAATCGAAACGATTCTCACTGTTTTCTACCGAAGAGTTATGGCTCTCTAGTCGTTAGCCCATCAGGACAGCAGGAAAAAGCAAGTTGAAAAAAAAAATTGTAGGGAAGAGCATGAACCGCTCCTAAAATGAACCATATTCCTACATAAAGTGACATTGGAAGAATCGTAGGAAGAGGCGGTGTGGAATGGAAAAAGTTAGTTGAATCCATGGAGGACTGGAATGTTAACCGAACGAATGTTGTTTCCCTCCTCAAATCCATTCCCAGACTTAAGATTTCTTTAACCTGATCGTAACGAAATTATGACGTCATTATACGACTCAAAAGTGGTCAGCTGTGCTGCGTCCGCTTGCAAGCCATAAATCTCAATGGATTATTTTCCGCTACCATCCTTCGCAAGGAGGGGATGATAAAGAAATACTCGGATTTTTTAAAAAGAGACTTAGAACTGACAATGAAGACCAGAAAAGCCTACCTTCAAAGTAGGGACAATCCTTAATGATGTTGGAACTTCCGTACCACCTTGCAGCGAAATTTCTACTGGTATTTATGGTGCACCTTATTCGCCCTGTGGGCATGAAATGGATAACTGTGAAAACCTAGTACTTCAACCTACAGAATCAGACATTTCTGCCTAAAGATTGTCCCATGGTGAAATACTAGGGCATACTTTAACACCTCTGACTTGCATGTAGAGCAGGGCTTCCCAGCCTTTTTCACGTGCGACTCCAAAAATCACGATCGTACCGTTCGGGACCCCAAGCACTGGCTGAAGTTCGACAGGCTCCCTCACCTATGCGCTAAAATCGCAAAGAAAAAACATAACAAGGCATTTAGTTGCCGGTTCGCGACCCCAAACATGACCTTAGCGACCCCAAATGGTGTCGCGACCCCAGGGTTGGGAAGTCCTGACGTAGAGGTAAGAGTGGCTCTCACGTATCAAAGAAGTGGAAATGACAGTCGCGCAAGCTTCATGAGCAGCATATCGTCACGTTAGTGCGATAAGGTTCTACCTGCAACATGAAACAAATTGAAAAGAAGGAACTTCAAGAATTCAGCATTCTCTCAAGGCTTTATGTTTAACTTTTGCTATTTCCACTTTAAGACAGACCTACATTAACTAGTGTTCAATGCAGTAGCTACACATCGCTTGGAAGTGTCTCTTAAGTTGATGATTGCTGTGGGAAAAGGTCAGTTTTCGTTTTCCAAAAGTTCTGATAGAATCTTTTCAAACGGAGGCGACTATATACAAGGTCTGTTCAAAAAGTATCCGGACTGGTACGATTATAGACAAAATATTGTACTTCCAGGGTATGGTGCTTAATCTTCCTCAAAGTACGCTCCTTCTGAAGCCACACACTTTGCCCAACGATCCTGCCACTCTTTAAAACATTTTTCAAAAGCACCCAAAGCTGCTCCGTCGAATTTCTTTGAATGGTCTCGACATCATCGAATCGGTGTCCTTTCAGGGTGTTTTTGAGCTTCGAAAATAAAAACGTCGCAAGGAGCCAAATCCGGCGAGTACTGAGACTGCTGCACTTGGGGGCTAGCTTTTTTTGGCCAAAAATTGCTGGAGTGAGAGGGCGCGTTATCGCGATGAAGCATCCAGTCTCCGGAATCCCACTTCTGAGGCTGTTTCCTCCGAACTGCCTCACGTAGACGTCTCAACATTTCAATGTAAATGTCCTTGTTGGTTGTTTCTCCCTGTGGAGCATACTCAAGGTGCACAACACCTTCACAGTCAATGAAAGCCAGGAACATGACATTAGTTTTGCTGCACACTTGCCGCACTTTTTTTGGTCGCGGGGACGAAGGACTCTTTCACTATGTCGACTGCTGCTTGCGATGGAACCATACTTGTGTACGGGCCATAGCATAATCACCGTATGCTACATTGAGTGAATCGAAAGTTTCACTGGGCGTTTTCCAAATTTTAAAGCAAAACTGAATACAAACACGTTACTCGGTACTCTCCGACATCGTAAAAATCGCAGCGAGACAAAAAAAAAACCTTTAACTTTATCGGCTCACTACAGTGGACTGACGCTACGCAATGAAGTGCAACCCTTTCAGGCGACACGTCCCGACATGCAAAAACATGTTGACCACAGTCAAAACTCCGAGCGTGACCTTATCTTAAAAATAAACACCCAGTCCGGATACTTTTTGAAAAGACCTCGTATGTCCATACGTGAAAACATTACGTGGCAATTTAAAATTTTCACAAAAACATAACTTATGCAGGACTACATATCTGCTAGGTGGTTGCTGTAACTACGACCAGCATTTCAAGGTTTATAAACGGGCATTGGAAACAGGTGGGAGTACAAATGGTACTGCTGGTGAAACATCTGGATCTACTAGCGAGACAAGCGGTACTGCTGGCGAAACATCTGGGTCTACTAGCGAGACAAGCGTAACTGCTGGTGAAACCTCTGGATCTACTAGCGAGACAAGCGGTACTGCTGGCGAAACATCTGGGTCTACTAGCGGGACAAGCGGAACTGCTGGTGAAACATCTGGATCTACGAGTGGGACAGGCAGAACTTCTGGTGGAACATCTGGAACTGCTGGCGGGACAAGCGGAACTGCTGGTGGAACATCTGGGTCTACTAGCGGGACAAGCGGCACTGCAGGCAACACATCTGGGTCTACTAGCGGGACAAGCGGCACTGCAGGCAACACATCTGGGTCTGCAAGCGGGACGTCTGGAACTGCTGGCGGGACATCTGGCTCTACCAGTGGGACAAGCGGTACTGCTGGTGGAACATCTGGGTCTACTAGCGGGACAAGCGGCACTGCAGGCAACACATTTGGGTCTACTAGCGGAACAAGCGGCACTGCAGGCAACACATCTGGGTCTACTAGCGGAACAAGCGGCACTGCAGGCAACACATCTGGTTCTACAAGCGGGACGTCTGGAACTGCGGGCGGGACATCTGGGTCTACCAGCGGGACAAGCGGTACTGCTGGTGGAACATCTGGAACTGCTGGCACTGAAGGCTCTCAAGCAAGCTCAAGCAATCAGAATCCACAATTAAATCCAAATGCAGGTTAGAAATACCAGCGGAAAGCACTATTCGTTTGGTCTCTGATCTCCCCCCCCCTCCCTTTTTTTATGGTGATGAGTGAGTTATTCTTACTTTTGTTTTGTACTTTATCCATTGCTTCATTTAAAGCTTCCTCCACTGCTCCTTTGGCTAGCATTACTCTGACGCACAGTTGCCCAGCACATGGAAAACCATGGCCAAATGGAAATAAATTAAAGGATTTCATTTCCAGTCATGAACGCATGCGTTGAGGGAATTATGTACTTCGCATAATGAAGGGAAGGCAAATTCTTCACGCAATGCCCTAATTTCGTCTGATGGCTAAACTACAACTTACAACCTAAAGAGTACGTGAAGTAATGTGAAAACCATTTTTCTAAGTCTTTTCCTTTCTTCAGCCTCAACCTCTACCTCAACCCCAACCTCACCGGTACCGGAGCAAGCTCTCTAAGCCTAAATGAAGGACAGTTAATTTCATCTTTTAATGGGGATATGGTGCATCGCAAACAAAAAACATAAAACAATATCTTTCTAATGGTTGGTCTCTTTCCTCCTAAAAACCTCCAGGAGTGGCTACCAAGGGGGGGGGGGAAGAAAAAAATAAAAGGAAAGTCACGTTCCAAAAGCGAGATTAAGTGTTCTCCACAATCTAGGGGAAATGGAGTTTCAGAATTGCTTTAGCGAATTTGTGTTGAGAGAGGAGGAAACTTGACTAATTTCCTTCCTGTTTATGCTCTAAGAGGGGAATACAAGGAGGTTGAATTTTGTAACGGGAAGGGGTTGAAGAAAGGTAATAGGCGCTGCAGCGCCTATTGATAGGGAACGATCTCGGTTTGGCCCGGTTTCCTGGACCAACTCGCAACAGCGAGGACAGCTCTAAATGTCATAATGAAGTAATGTGAAAACCGATTTTCAATGGCATTGCCCTTTCTTCAACCTCCTCTCTACGAGACTCACCAACGTTAGGCCTAGGCCTAACCAACAGACTGCCTTCAGGTCAAGCCAAGGCCTACCTTTTTCCTCTCAAAAGAAGCTGAATTCTCGACTTACGGCGCCAATTAGGCTTATAAGAGTGAATCGTGGTCTTCGAGACATCTGGTTGAGGACGTGTAACGTTTGGCCAATCAGGAGTTCCTCGAACCATCTCGAAGAGTTCTGAGTAGCGAATGCCTTCAAGAAGCATGGAATCCATCGTAAGCGCTATCCTCTTAATTCAGGGATGTCCAGGTAACATATCTGCATATCCCATGCATCGATCAATAACTGCTAACCACCGCTTCATTCTCAGCTCAACTCATGAACTCAGCACAAAAATGTCTCATACCTTAAAAAAAAAAAACAGATGATCCAGATGCCAATACGAAGGTTGAAACAGTCTTGAATCTGGCATAATCTCGGCACGGTATCCAGCAACACTGGGGGACGTTACCGGAGCCAGCACTCTAAGCCTAATTGAACGACAGCTAATTTCATTTTCATGGCGAAATGGATCATCGCAGGCAACAAAAAGGCCTTTTTTCGTCATCTACGAGTCAATATCTTTCTTATAATTGGTCTCTTCCCTACGAAAACCCCCAGGAGTGGCTACACAGGGGGGAAGAGAGCGGAAAAATTTAAATAAAACGGAATGATAATTCACATCCTCCAAAAACGAGATTCTGTGTTCGGCACAACCCCGGGGAGATAGGGGGCCTCAAATTAGCTGGAGCGATTCTGTGGTGAGAGGGGAAGAAGTATGCCAAATTTCCTTCTTGTTGATGCTCTCAGAGCATCAACATTCAACATCAGAGAACAGCAACATCAGAGCATTTTGCGGCGGGAAGGGGTTGAAGAAAGGTAATAGGCGTTGCCGAAAGTCTATCGATATCGATTTTTTAATTTCAACTTCGTCCTTTCCTTCTTCCAATGACCTCGTTCTTATGTAAGATGGTGTCTCTGCATCGCTGATTCACTGACGAATTTGGGTGTTTTTGCTCGCAGAGACGCTGCAGATACGGGGACTCCGCATCCTCAACGTCCGGTGGAATAACGGCATGGCCACGGCCGGATCAGCTGATTTCAGCAGCCTCTGCTCCAAGATCGAGGCTGGGGTAATTGCTTCCGATCGTTTTTCTCCCGTAAACATTGGGCTCACAGAGGTCGATGTATGATCGACGGATTCCAAAGTTCAATATTATACATAAAATATTGACTTAAATGCTGAAATATGGAATATGCGAAAATAGCAGCCTCGCCATCAGATCTAACATAAAACGGACCCAGATCTCAAAATCCTCTCCCAACAACTAAGTGCCATGTGTTTCTACGCTGCAGATTTTAGCGGCCCTGGTGGGTACCAGCGAAAAGGCCTTATACCGGAAAACAGTCTGCCTGGCCAACCAACGGGGAGGCACCGGTATTCCCGTTGTCTCAGACTTCAACTTGGAATTTGCCAAGGGCACGAACCTGACCAAGGTCATGGACGACCTCGACGCCAACACGCTGGCACCGGACGGGGCGTATCTCATGGGGGAACTGAGGTCTGACCACTCGCCATCAGGTGAGAACCGGGCTCGAATTTGAACTCAAGTTTTCCTGGCGCTCGAAAATATATTTTGAGCGGGAGAACCGAATTCGTCACGGCCCAGAATGACCTTTATTTGAACAGGGAGGACCCAGGCAGCAGCAGCAGCAGCCTCGACCCCCCCTCCCGACATCATCAGGATCGATTCAGGCAGGGAAGCCCGCCTCTTCATGCTAATCACCGTGCCTACACTCGGCGGTAAGCGAGGAAATCCCAAGGGTGGGGGGGTAGGGGGGGGGAGGAAAAAGCGGGAAACGGGTGAATCGAGCTCGCTGTGCCAATTGGATGCAATGCAAAATCGATTTCGAGAATGGCAAGAGGGCGTTCGGACACGTTTCGAGTCTCAAAGATTTGCTAGAAATTTCCACGTTAGGGGATGGATTCGATGGGAGACTTTGCGGATTCAGACTTTCCTGATGAAGGGTGGCCGAGAAATCTCGTCCTTGCTTGTGAGACTCACATCATTTTGGAAACTCTGAAGACCTGTTTTGTTGCATTGACCAAATGCCTCCCGACTTTTTCGTCCGACGTTCGCTGTGGACCCGTATTGAAACCAGCTCCTCGCAACGTGAAACATGGGTGCAACGAGTGGATGGATGTACATGTGAAAATTCGGACGCCACTAAAACATGCTCCTCTATGAGCATCAGTTCCACGAAGATAATCTCCATCCCATAGACCCCAAAGAAAAAAACCAAACCAGTTAAACGAACCTGGTACACGTCTCCCATCAGGCGTGGAGTCGGGAGAGGCCGGGATCAAGGCGCGGAATGCGTCCAGTACTGGTACCAGTACTGGTGGCATGCGATTGGCAACGCAAAATTATTCATCTTTAAGCGGTACGCTTGACTTAGCACTCGGTTCTGGGTTCAAGGTTTAGGCACGGGCCTGGAAAGACATTTTTGGCCATTATGAAGTCCCATGTCAAGGTCGAACGTTCGTATAAAACGAAGAAAGACCAACTCCTCCGAGAAAGAGATTTTGTAGGATCCACCTAGAGGATCCACCTAGTGGATCCACCTAGTGGGTCCTACAGTGGAGGGATGATCCACCGCCTAGTTACGGCTAGTCAAGTCTGTCCTATGGCACATCTTACTGCATCGGCAGGCACATTCAAATGTGCCCAGCCTCGTGACGCGTTTTATCGCGACCAAACACAAGAAATTCCCTCATGACACATTGTCAAATGACATTTCACGCGCTTTGCTACAAGTAAATAAGCCATTCCGCAAACTCTTGATTGGCGTCTCCAAGCCCGAACGTGGGTGTGACTTTGAGCTTTTTTTTGTTCATTTCTGGAAACATTTGTAAAAAAAAAAAAAAGTCCCCTCGATTCAATGGAATTTCCTCAGTCCTTCCCTTTCCCTCCACGTTTCGAAAATTTTCTCAACGCCCATTTAACCCTTTCAGTGCCAGGGGGCGAAGTATCGTCGTTTCTAGCCTACGAATCGACACTGAAAGGGCTAAATCGACTGCAACCCTAAAGAAAAACTTTGAAAAACGTCAAGATGCTGAAATTGAAACCAAAAATCAACGGCATTCACCAGTTTTCAACATCCAGGCCTTTCACCCGCTCATTTTCCACCTTGCAGCTCTGGCCTTTCTCATCCTGATGATCCTTTGCTGCACCGCAAAGGGCTGCTGCTGCCGCGCCGACACCGCCAAGTGACCCTTTCTCCTTTCTTTCTCTCTCCAAAAAGAAATTCGTGATTTCGAACGAACTCTTCCGCCTCTGGCTCCTCCGGGTGGTGTTGACGCCGTGTGGGAACGCGAATGAATGAAAAACGGACCCGATGGACTCACAGACGGAAGGTGAAAAAAAAAGGGTATTTAACTCGTGCGCAGAAGTAATTCATAAGGTATTTCACCGCGGACGCACTCCCGTCGCTCGAGACCTGTGTGGGAACGCCGCAACAAGCCTGTGCTAATTTTTGCATTCAAGAGTCTCGAGACGTGGGAGTGTGCTCGCGTCCCTGTTCATTCATCCAGCTCGCCAATAAATTCGATTGCAACGAACAACGACCAATTATTTTTCTCACGCGAAATCCAGGGCTCAAACGAGTCCTAAGTTCTATAAAAGAAAAACAACATTCAATGAGATCCACGCTGTCTTACCGCTCCTCTTCCGACCTAATGAAACGGGCCACCGTCTGAGAGGACCCTTCAGCATGCACGACCCGGCAACTCACGGGCTTGCCGAAACCGCACATCCATGAAACCGCATGGATGTGCGGTTTCGCACTAAAAGCGACAACGCCGGGAGGCAAACCAGCGGTCTCGATGCCTCTACAGCGACGAAAGCCGCCGTCCTCCAACGCGATGGCCGCGTGTGGGCTTGGAGGCGCTCAAGGATCCAGTCCTACAGCGGGGCTGGAGAAACCCAGCTCAAAATACTTCATATGGAAAAAATGACTCATGTGAACCTCACGAACGACCACGGACGGAAAAGGCCGAGTGATTGCAGCCAGAGAAGAGATAACAGCGAATCACACCAAGGATCATTCCGCGCGACCCGCAGGATCGGATTTGAGATTTTTTTTTTCGGCAGTCAGAGCGAAGGGATTTTCACGGAGTCACGATCAACGCGTGAACTTTGCTCTCTCCGTTCCCCGGGCCGGAAATTCCCGTAGATCCCATTGGGGTGGGCTGCCTCTTTCGTCGAATTTATCCTTGAATTCAAATGTCTGTGGAGAAAATATCAAGTACCATTCCAAAAAGTACTTGGGACGCGTGCAAGTTGCACATATGAAGTAATTCCCTGTGTTGGCGATTCGTCGCCATCTCGCATCGGGATCGGGAAACCTCCTTTGCTCGAATGTCTCGCCAGATGTCTCGCTCGATCCTCTCGACATCGTCAACATATCATCAACGTTGAGTCAACTTTGTCGTGCAGACTGGGGTGAGCATCTCACGAGTATCTGAAGCATGAAAAACTTCAAAATAATAAGGATCACTCATGGTTCGAATGGAACGCTCTCAAATCTATCCACTGGGTACTTGACTCTTCAATATGGAGACAGGTGTTTCAGGCGCTGAAAACACGCATTTCGTTGGTTTCCACTTGCCTCAGAATTGGAAGCAAAGGCTCGAAAACGCAATCAAAGCTACCCAGGGTGGCAGGAATGAACCAGATTGATCAAGATGGCAAGAACATCTTAGAGTGATCAAGATGGCAGGAACGTCTTAAAGCTGTCAACGTGATAGGATGTGAGCTCCAATTTCATTCCTATAACTCATAATTTGGGTGATACACTGGGCTTTCCGCTTAGAAAGTTTGAGCGTCGCTCAATACTGTCATTATGAAAGGACAAGGAGAAACGATTTCGTATAAGGACGGCACAACATTAGGCCTCAATCTGGCTCTCCATCGCGTTTCCCGCTCTGCATCGTTACTACTTCGGAAGTTCGGATGATTTCCTGCCAATTACACAATAGAAGGATACAGGGAGCTTCGAAACGACTCCCCCATGCGACTCAGCTACCAAGAAGACAGCGAGGAGAACCAACACGAGCCAGCCGCCGGCAAACAACCAGAAGACCCAGGAGGCACTCGAGGACTGGGCACTCCGTGCTCTCGCAGGGCAACGGCGGTCCATGCACCTGGTGGCTGGCCCTCGAACTAACGTCCACGTTTCACGGAGGAGGGCGTTGAAATCTCTGAAATGAATTCGCGCCTAAGTTTGAGGCTATTTGAGGCTATTTCCATGGCGCATTCTGGGAGGAGAGGGTATATTTCCTGCGATTGAAATAGGCCTTTGGAGCCCAAATTAAAGGAGGTATGAATTCATTTGGAAAAATTGTATTGGTTATGAAAAACAAGTCACAAGTGTCCAAGTTGAATGAGAATCATCAGGTTTTAGCGAAAACCACTGAAGCATTCTTCCAAATTTGAGAATTTGATAGACCTATGCTCAATGAAATTAAGGTCAGCTTTTTCGTTGCATGTGGTTTCCTGGTGGAGAGAATGCTTGGAATGCGCTAGCTGCAGGGTGAGCCCCGCGCTGCCCCTTCCGTGGCTAGCTCAATTTAGGAAAAAGCAAAAACAAAACAGGGAGCAAGCTATGCTTAACGGTCAATACGAGACGCATAAATCCGACCTTTTCGTTTCGGACCATTCGGGATACTCAGCATTTAATTTCATCTGCCTGTTACATATTTATCAAGTCGCGGCCATAGGCCTAGTGCAAAGCCCCGGTGAACACATGCGCGAACCCTTCCGGATCCTTGGGAAAACCGATGCAAAAGCCGAACTCCATCCATTCGGCCGCATTCCTCTCGGCATGGCGCGTAGGAGCAGTACTGCGACCCATGAGCCACCATTTTGCACGCGTCATTCCAGTCCAATGATCTCATTGGTCGATCCTGCGTAGTTCCAGGGCCAACCACCAGGGCAGAAGGTTTCCCTGACAAAGGCACGACATACGTCTAGCGACAGACCGTCGCCAGCCAATCAGAACGCAGCTCCTGTCTGCGTCATGATTCACGGGCTACCCAAGTATCTCGAACCCATCTCCTAGACTCAAGTGGAAACATGGAAAATAATATGCTCATGGTGTCATGTGGTCTTCTGGTCAAGGTATACCGATCAAACTTGGATATATATTTTTAATTCCCACTGTATTAGGTGTACTAATAATGAGTCGTTATTTATGTTTATCATGGATTCCATAGAGTTCTAGTTCCTCATCTGAATCTGATGTCCTTTCCTGGACTCGGACATTTATATTTTTAGTCCTTGTTCAAAAATGAGCAGTCATGGTGAGGGTACCAAATGTTATGTCATGGAGTCATTCACTTTAAAAAATTAAAAGTTTAAACGATGCAGCACAATTAGATAAGCCTCAGTGCGCGTAGGTGTGACGAAGACAAAGGTGCAAGAAAAGGTTTGTGGAAGACCTCTCAAAATGTTGTTTGACTTAAACCGACTGCATGTTTTTCCTTGTTTATGATAGAATTTGAATAGAAATTAAAATAATTTAAACAATCTAGCCTTTCAGGCTGGTGCTCATGATTAAATATTAAAGGCATTTTTGAGCTTGGGTTCAACAAAGGACAACCTATCAAATGATATATAGTAACGATGGACACCCTGTATATCATTCTAAGAATTTTCTTCAGTTGAATATGCGGTCAGTGATAAACCAGGTCTAAGTCCACCACTCAGGTCTCAAGATGGTCAGTAATGTCGAACCATGAAAGGTGTCGAGTCCAGGGGCCAGTTGCATTGCCTCAGTTAAGTCAGACTTTCGCGCAAAGTCTGACTTTGGGAGCGTGTTTACCATGCTTCCTAAGTCTGACTTAACGGAAACTTTGACTTAACTGAGACAGTACAACTGACCCCAGGTTCTACACACGGCTACGCAATCTGCAATGATCACGTGGAGCGTTCAAGGGGGATGATGAATGTGGAACNGTGACGTCATGAATTGGAAAGCTATGCGTTTATTGGTCGATTTGACGCCATGAGCAATGGCGGCTGACCCTTCCAATCGGCGTGCGGCTGCCTGGCTTTCTCCATTGGCCTGTCCAGTCTAGGTATATTTACCATGTCTCTGACTGCGACCCATGAGCCACCATTTTTCACGCGTCATTCCAGTCCAATGATCTCATTGGTCGATCCTGTGTAGTTCCAAGGCCAACCACCAGGGCAGAAGGTTTCCCTGACATCAAAGGCACGCAGCCCCGCGCCAAACAAGACGACTTTACAACTGACAGGGATGTCCGATCCCACACTCGCGACCGAAGGAGCAAAGTCAACGACTTCGTCATCACTCCATACATTAAAATTCTCTCCCCAAGGGAACCAATCCAGCCAAGCATCTCATCAACGGAGGGGACCCAACGGAACATCCAAACCATGAGCGACGAAGATCAGCTATAATCAAAGGTGCAAAAGCAACCCTGTACCATCTTCTACGAACTCAAATTCATCAGCCCGGCCATCGTCTGCTGCAACCGAACCTTACACTAGGCTAAACAATAGATGAAAAAAACTCTTGAAGCCTAGCCGAACCAATTTCAATTCCGCATATCATAATCATAAAACTTCAGTGCCAATGATTGAAAAGCCGGTGCTGCTGCAAACGCATAAGCGAAACCTCCACCATCCCGAATCAAAGCTAACCGCATCCTTCCGCTCAACCTTCGCCCTGGAGAGGCATAGGCCGAGGCAGACGCAATTCCAGGTCAGATGGGCGAGTCGCTCGGTGGCGGGTGGGTGCAGGCGATCGCGAGTGATTGACGAACATCCTCTAATTGTTGCCAGAACGTTCGTGACGGTGTCGATGGTGCCGATTGGCTGAAACGAATAGCCAATGCGTGAGCTGTATATGGGAGCCTATCTCGTGTTGACAATCTGGTGTTGGCGAAATAGACCTCATGTGAGCGCCGTGAGGTCTCGGGTGTCTCATAAAAACGGGCCTGGATCACGTGAGACCTCGCGGGGCTCTCTCGGCACCGTCCAAGAAAAAAAAGCCGTTTAATTAGCGGAATCATCGACGGCGATCGATCCGGCTCTCTCTCCCGCTGCATGCAGCGCTGGGGCTCCGCCTTTAATTGGCAATAGGCGCTGATTTTTGACAGCGCCAGGACCTTGAAGGGATCAAAGAGTAGCAGTTTTTCTGCTTTCAAGCGAAAGCAAAAATTGAGCTGCAGTTGTCATTTGCATATTTGATGCAGCATCTAATTTGCAATTTGCGCCAGAATGAAATTTCGCGGTATCGAGAGAAAGCCGAATACCGATTGCCCTTACCCCAATCAATTGTTGCCTCGAAGGTCATGCTCACGACCTTCAAGGTCATGCTCACGACCTTCAAGGTCATGCTCACGACCTTCAAGGTCATGCTCACGACCTTCAAGGTCATGCTCACGCCCTTGAAGGTCATGAAAACCAAGCAACTCCCAGTTGACGACTCTGGAACGAGAAACGCATTTGACCCTGATTGCAATCGATCGAGCCGCGATTAACGGCCGCGGAACAGCTTTCAGCCGGCGAATGAATATTTGACGTGAGAACGCAGGTCCGCGCCTCAATTATTCACGTCGATCGCACGAACATGAAGGGTTTTTGTTGTTGCCCGGATATGAGAGCTATGGCAACGTCCAGCGAAGGGCGGTAAACAAATCGGAAGTCAGCGGCGCACCTCCACCCCAAATGCAAAAATTTGGTTTAAAATGTATGTATACGATATTTATATAATTATATATTATAATAAGGGTATCATATAATTTCAAGCGTACACGGTCTCAGCGAAAGGCAACTATGGCTGCTTGGGTTAAGGAGTGGTTCACCGTCTCAAATCGTGCCTGAATCGGATTGAAGAGAGTACATAAGAGTTACCTGCGGAGACATTTAATTTGAGCGAACTTGAACCGACCCAAGGTACTAAAATAGTACCATAAGAGGTACATGCGACCCGACGTATCGCCTTGGAAAATGAAATTGGGAGGGTGGGGGGGGCCGCCCCTGAACCGAGTCGCATCCAAACACTCGTCGATACATGCGATTGGAATGGAGACACTGTCCCAGTGATTAACTGGAGGTCCGGTGCATCGGAGGACTGGTGAGAAGGTTCCGCTAGCTGCTATCGAGTGGGAATGGCCTCCGGGGTCCTCCATCTCGCTCTGCTCTTCCTCATTTCTGCCGGCTCTTCGTCTCTCGCTGCTAATGACACCATCCCCAGCACAGGTCCATTACTTTCGCGAAATTCATTCGCAAAATTTGATGCATGGGGGAGGCTGGGGTACAATGGAACAATTTTTCGAAAATCTGAAAAAAATGCGCTTAGCACGTAAAATTTACGGAATCCAAGTCATCCTTCTATTAGGGGACATTCCGGGCTACCAAAAATTATTATGGATTTAGGATTATTAGGTAGAGTTAGAATAAGGGATCCCCATACCAGCTATACATACTAGCGAGTTTGTTATAATATATGGTATGATGTAAATTTATACAAGAATATATAAACGATATATAGAACATAAAAATTTAAAGCAGAATAGGAAAATAACTCAAAAATGCAAAAAAAAGTATATTATTTCGATAATGACCTTAATTCAGGTCTGAAAGGGCTAAGATACTTTTTGAGTCGCGTGACGAATTCATTCAGCTCCAGAGCGAAATTCTGGGTCCAATTTGAGAATGCGAGCAAACGAGCCCAAATGACAACGTCTCTTGCTGCAACAGGGACAAACCTGGGAAATGCGACAGCGGGAGGGACAAACCTGGGAAATGCGACAGCGGGAGGGACAAACCTGGGAAATGCGACAGCGGGAGGGACAAACCTGGGAAATGCGACAGCGGGAGGGACAAACCTGGGAAATGCGACAGCGGGAGGGACA